GGGGCGGGGTGCGCCTGCGGGGCGGGGCGAACGGATGGGGGCGGGGTGCGTGGATCGGGGCGGGTCCAATCGAGGCGAACGGGGCAAATTGCGAGCGAGTCGTAAGGACGCTATGACGGTGCGATGTGCACACGGGCAGGGAGAATTAGCTGACATGGAGTAGGCTGTGCAGGCGCGCGCGGGAAACGGCTGTCCGATGGAATCCTATCTCGTCTGACGTCCAGGCGCCAGCACGTCCGAAAGGAAAAATAACAGAAAAAGAGTCGTGGAACGGGCATGGAAAAGGACAGGAAATCCTATGAAACACAAAAAAAAATTAACAAACGAAAATCAGGGAATATTAGAAAAAGAAAAAGTCCACGGAACAAAACATGAAAAAAAATGGAGGACAAAAAGTTATGGAACGGATACTGGGAGAAACGGACCGAAAAAAAAACTGAAAAATATCACCGGACGGGCACAGGAAGAAATGGACACAGGACGAACGACCACACCCGAAAAGAAACAGAAATCCCAAACATGCACAGCAAAAAAGAAAGGAAGTGTCTGGCCAGCACTCAGAAAGTTTTACAGGTGAGGAGCACTCAATTTGTTTCACTGTTCTTCCTTCTTACCTCCGCGGCTGCCCACCGCCCTGCCGCGGGCACGACCTCCTTCTTCCCCTCCTCCCTCATTCTTCCGCAGCGAGCTCCGCCCATAGGCACCTCCACCCCGACCTAGCCCGACCGCCTTCGCCGCCAAGACCCGGACGCTGCCCTCCCACCGTCTCCACCGCCTGGTCTAAGACCGTCAGAATTGAAGAAGAAGAGAGAGGCTAGAAAGAGAGGGCGCGCGAGCGAGCTGAAATCGAGTGTCCAACCGTCCGTCGTTGGATAGCATTTTTCAAAAGAAAAGAAGAGACTGATAAAAGTCGCCGCGGGTGGATGATCGGATGAAAGGCTATCGTATTGAGCTGGACTCGTAATTGGGCGGGACGAAAGTTTGATGGCAGAAATTTTGACTTTTAATATTATATTATATTATATTATTTATATTATATTATAATCTAAATAAATCTGAGCCATTGATTTATTTAGATGAATTTTAGGAATTAGTGAAATAATTAAGTAACTCAAGGAAATAAAAAAAATCCCTCCAAATGCATAGTCCCTAGAGAAACCGGAAGCAACCAGCATCCTTTATTTGGGCACACCAGGAGGCACGGAAGCGGGACTCCATTTTTATTTCATCGCTCTTCCTTTTTTTTGGTTGTACGTACATGAGATTTAGATAAAATTAAACAAGGAAAGACGGATGCATCTGACTCTTGGACTTTAAATTAATGGATAAAAAACTTATTATTTTAGGGCCTTTTGGTGAGCTTGTGGGGGCTTCAGCTTATGCACTGTATCGCGCTATAGTGCTACTGTAGTAAATCAACGAAGCCCATCTGACCTGGCTTCACCAGTTTCTCCTACTTGCTAGTTCATTTTGGGTTGTAGAGAGAGAAAAGCTTTTGCTACCTACTTGCTAGTTCATTTTGGGTTGTAGAGGGAAAAAAAGCTTTTGCTACAGTGTCATACAGTATAACCATAGTAGATGCGTTAGAAGAAACTGCAGCCGCGAGAGTCATTGACAGTGGAAAGTTCTCCCTCGAAAGTCACAACTATATAATAATAACAACTATTTATAACAATAACAAGTACGATCATGGTTTTATAGCTAAGCCCTTGTTTAGTTGCACCCAAAAATCCAAAAAGTTGCTACAGTACCTGTCACATCGAATGTTTGCGGCCCGTGCATGGAGCATTAAATATAGACGAAAAGAAAAACTAATTGCACAGTTTGGTGGGAAATTGCGAGACGAACGTTTTAAGCCTAATTAGTCAATGTTTGGATACTATTTGCCAAATAAAAACGAATGTGCTACAGTAGCCCCAAAATCCAAATTTCGCGAACTAAACAAGGGCTAAGTTAGTCAGTATTTCTACTGATATGAAGAAGAGAAAAGAGGGGAAAACTTAGCTCTCATGCGAGAAACAAACTAAGCACGAGAGCCTAGGCAGTGGTGGACCGAGATAAAGTGTGAGGGGGAAATAGGTTGGTGGAGCCACGATGATGCATCAGGGTGTTCCATATAAACAAAATTGTGCAATGAAAATATGCAATAATATATAAGGCCATATAAATTCAGAGCAAGGAGGATTCGTTGTGGCTGTGGAAGTTTGTTTTCTTTGTTTTCATAGCTTTCTTTCACAATACAAGGCATATATGCTAACATGTGACATACATATTTATTTCTTTAACCAAAATAATGGTATTATAAGAATACCTAGAATACCCACTGGCGCCACCCATAGTGTGAGACATGGTACCCTATAAGGCTATAATAATAAAGAAAATCTTTTTTTCTCGATCACACAAAATGTTTACGCCTCTTTGTATTAAGGTAGAGAACATGTTCAATACAACATGCCTTAGCGGCGCCTTAGGAGTCAATAAAGTTATACATGGACGCTCAGACCCTCCCTAGTATACTATAAGCTATGCTGTTACATTGGATAGTGATCAACCCAAACTGCGACGCCGGTTAGGAGGCCTATGCCCGGGCTCCCGAGTGGTAGCGGCGCTGCTTGTGCGCGCCCGCCTCATCGTCCACTAGGAACAACTCACGCAGCGCCTGCATATGAGCGGGGTCGCCGTTGAAAATTCTTTGTACGCCTTCTTAGCCGATGTCGACGGAGATGGCATCCCGCTGGTTAGTCCCAGGCGCTTCATGACAAGGTACTCACCTTGCTTGGATGTCCGGATATGAGATATGCTCTGCGTCGCTATCCGCTTGCTTCGCGTGGGGAGCGTGGGCAGTGCATGTTCGTTATGGATCGTATCATCTTCAGGTAGCTCCAGGAGTGGCGGTTGCTTCCTCCTTGTGATTCGCTCGGTGAAGCATTTGAGGAGTCTGTCAGCTGAGGCCGTCTGAGATGATGGAGTGCGATCGATGGCGTCTATCACAGCCACGACCGTCGCATGTCCCAGGGTGGTTGCCCCGATGTTGGCCAGCGCTGGGCTCATGGGCTACGGAGGAGTGTCGCGTTCGCGCCTGGGGGGATGGTGCTCTCTGGGCGCGCCTCGGCATCCACGACGCCGAGTTGTCCCCCACGGCGGTGTGACTTCTGATTGCTCCTGCACAGGCGACAACAGAGGCGAGTTTGTCGTCTGTTGGACAGCCTTCGTGGGAGAACGGGTGTCCACCAACGATGTTTCCACATCCTGAGAGGCGGGCACCTAGGCGCTGGTGCTCCTGTTGGCCGGCTCACGACAAGCGAGGTGGCAAGCTCCTCTAGTATTGGATCGCACGGATAAAGAAAATCTTTTATAAACAAATAGAAGACAACTATTGTCGCCAATTATTACCCTGTCTATATACCAGCTTTTTTGCATATTAGTCCTTCCTAGACACAATTAAATGAGGAGGGAGAGAACCGCCCTCATCTCAGGGCATGTACAACGGGTCCCTTGCCCCGTCCCTTTGTCGTTGTTTTTTCAAAAGAACCATGTCGAAGCCTAGAGACGCAGCCGCCGCCGTCTCGTGAAGCGACGGACCTATCTCGTGCTCCGATACGGAGAAGACGGAGTGAGCAGCGTTGTATGAGCCACCTCTCCGTCTCGATGATGCGCAGATCCCGAGCGCTAGCGCGCGCGATTGAGTTTGGGCGCGCGGGGAGGCAACGCTCGCGCCAAATTCATCTCCATATACATATCCCGGTGAAGTAGGCCATCTAAGCTCCATTCTTCTTCTTCTTCGCCGGCACCCAATCTTCGGCAGCACCGTGGGCACGGTCTCAAGGCACTCAGAGAAGGGCGGGATCTCAGTAGAGGTCGGGTCGCTATATGCAAAGCATTAAATTGCTTAGAGACGACCCTCATCCGTGGGTTGCATAACCTGTCTTTTTAATTGTCTGTATAATATATTCTTGTCTCCTAGAGACGGCCCTGTGTCTAGATTGTTCTGCTCCCAGAACCTACCGACACTGCAGAACCCGTCGTACGTATCATCTTCTCTTGAGGCTGTCTCCAACTGAAGACTCATTGCGGAACCCAAACCCAAAATAGGTCTCCAACACAATACCTATAGCCTCCAACAGAGTACCTATATGAAAGACCCATTTTGAATGCTATGAGAGGCATAACCAAAATCTGAGTATCCTCTCTCCTGGAGATCCGTTTGCAGAAAAGGTTACCTTTTGGGTCTTATTGTTGAAGAAGACAAAAATATGTATTGAATCTTTTGTCTGTAACGCTATCAAAAGACGAATAGATCTGTTATTTTGGGTGGTGGTTGTCATAGACCGCACGAGGAGGACTTCGTCCGATCTCGTGCGTCGCCTGCCATTGTACCCAGGACACAGAGCCGGAGTAGGGATGTACTAGGAGTACAGGAGCACTACTCGTTTGTTGGAATGTGCATGTGCATGTCCGGCTTCCTGCTAACTGTTGGGACCTTTATTTGATAATCTTAAGAAAATCTTATTTGTATAAAAAAAGCAATACATACACATATGATTCTAAAAAATCTTCTAAGGAAATATTATAATTAACATATACCAAACAAGCAGCAACATAATATATTATATTACTATGCATATCCTACTATGTCGATGATTCTAAATAAATATCATAATTGTATTCGTCTCATTTATTTGCGGTTATTTTTGTGTCATAAAGCAACAAAATGAAATACACAGATTTTGTTCATGTTTGATCATGAATGTGTGTGTATATATATATATATATTAGTACACATCCAAATAGACGGTCCACCTTACAAGCTGTCTGCGTGGTTCTTATAACCATAGAGACAACCCTGTATATGCGTTGAACATGCCCTAACTTGAATATGATAACTTAATTTATAGTCAAGCATTTAGCTCTATTATTGATCTTGCTCTTACGTGAGAAAACATAGTTGCAGGGTGCTGACGTGGACGGACGGGTTCTACAACGGCGAGGTGAAGACGAGGATGGTCTCCAACTCCGTGAAGCTGACAGCCGACCAGCTCGTGATGCAGAGGAGCGAGCAGCTCCGGGAGCTGTACGAGGCCCTCTTGTCCGGCGAGTGTGACCGCCGCGCGGCGCGGCCGGTCGGCTCGCTGTCGCCGGAGGACCTTGGGGACACCGAGTTGTACTACCTGGTCTGCATGACCTACGCCTTCCGGCCAGGCCAAGGGTAATCGATCGATTTTTTTGTTCGTGATGCCCGTCATGACAACATTTTTTTGGTTCGTGGCCTGTCTTCGTCACTCGGGTGCATGGCATGCGTTTTGTGTGCTACCACAGGTTGCCCGGCAGGAGTTTCGCGAGCAACGAGCATGTCTGGCTGTGCAACGCGCACCTCGCCAGCAGCAAAGTCTTCCTCCGCGCGATCCTGGCCAAGGTATGCATGCGTGTTTCTCAGTTCTGACGACGGTGATCGGTCAAGATCGACCGCTCTGCATTCTCCCGTTCACCGCGTCTTGTCTATTATTGCCTTTCATGCATGTTTTTCACTAGTCGGTTGCGATCTTTGTTGAATCATCATGAACTTGGGTACCTGCATGTGTGGCCTTGGGTGCCTACTTACGGTCAAGCAGAGCGCGTTCATTCAGGTAAGCACTTTCCATGAAACATCACACAGGGCACTTTCAGACTGCGTAGTCCACAGATTTCAGACTGCAACATTATCTGAATCCTGGATCGTATTTAATTTCTGCAGTCAATCGTCTGCATCCCGGTTATGGGTGGCGTGCTTGAGCTGGGTACAACTGATACGGTATGTATAGATACCATACTACTACATTATCTGAAAAGCGAAAACGAGAAATTTTACAATGATATTAGTATCACCAAACTAAATGATATTGCCAGGTGCCGGAGGACCCGGACTTGGTCAGCCGAGCAACCGCAGCTTTCTTGGAGCCGCAATGTCCGACATACTTGGAAGAGCCGAGCTCCAACCCGTCAGCAAACGAAGCCGGCGAGGCCGCAGACATTGTTGTGTTCGAGGACCTCGGTCACAATGCCATGGAGACGATGACTGCCGCCGGGGGACACGGACAGGAGCTAGGAGAAGCCGAGAGCCTGTTCAATGCAAGCCTGGAGCACATCACGAAGGAGATCGACGACTTCTACAGCCTCTGGGAGGAAATGGACGTCGTCCCCGAAGCCACCGCCGTCCCGGGGGCTACTACTAACAACGCTGCCGACACCTCATCAAGCGCACCAGTTGACGGCTCTCGCGCGACCAGTTTCATGGCTTGGACGAGATCACAGTCGTGCTCCGATGAAGTGGCGGTGCCGGTCATCCAAGAGCCGCAGAAATTGCTGAAGAAAGTGGTGGCCGGCGGCGGAGCTTGGGCGAACTGTGGTGGCGGGGGCACGACGGGAACAGCACAGGAAATAAGTGGCATCAAGAATCATGTCATGTCACAGCGAAAGAGCCGAGAGAAGCTCAACGAGATGTTCCTCGTTCTCAAGTCATTGGTTCCGTCCATTCACAAGGTAAGAAAAACTTGTTGATTTGGGAACGTTTGTTTGTATAAAGACTTGGAGGCACCTTTTCTTTTCTTTTTTTTTGCGAAATTGGAGGCACCTTTTCTTGGCAGGTGGACAAAGCGTCGATCCTCGCCAAAACGATAGCCTACCTCAAGGAGCTTCAGCGAAGGGTAGAAGAGCTGGAATCCAGTAGGGAACTTCTGTCGCGCCCATCCGAAACAACAGAAAGGCCTACAACTACAAGGCCCCGTGGCATTGGCAATGAGAGTGTCAGGAAGAAAGTCTCTGCTGGCTCCAAGAGGAAGAGCCCAGAGTTCGGCGGTGACGTGGAGAAGGAGCACCCCTGGGTCCTCCCCAAGGACGGCACCAGCAACGTCACCGTCACCGTCTCGGACAGGGACGTGCTCCTGGAGGTGCAATGCTGGTGGGAGGAGCTCCTGATGACACGGGTGTTCAACGCCATCAAGAGCCTCCATTTGGACGTTCACTCGGTTCAGGCTTCGGCACCAGATGGCTTTATGGGCCTCAAGATACGAGCTCAGGTATATCACCACCATCTAATTAAGACATGGCAATTGCAATACATACTGCTCTGGTTAGCAGTTGTGTAGCTCACCCTTGACTTCTTGGTTGCAGAGTTTGTTTTAGTGATGCTGTTGTTTCTGTTCAATTCCTGCAGTTTGCTGGCTCCGGTGCCGTCGTGCCCTGGATGATCAGCGAGGCTCTTCTTAAAGCTATAGGGAAGCGATAAAGGGACAGCTGAAAGCTGGATATCGATCTGGAAAGTTTCATGAATCGAAGCAAAGTTGTATTTCTTGTGGAAGCCAATTATATTTCTGCAAAATTTGGTGTACTTCGATTTTCAGTCGCCAACCATATCCGGTTTGATTTTATCACTACAAAGTACAAACTAGGGTGGTCTATTCAAATAGCTAGCGGAGCTAGATTCTCTTGAATTAGACATCGGTTTCTTTTATTTCTTCTATATAAAAGAATATAAACATATGTTTATTATGAGTATTATGATCTTCAGTGTTAGGAGGCTACAAACTAAATTCGGAATGTATATAATCAAAACTAAGCATTACATTGTCCGTTTTCTCATATTGAATTTTGTCAAATATAGTCACACAAGTTCATTCATTGCTCATCAAAGACACAGATCATGGCATCCCTCACCCTACAACTACGGTTGCAAGTTCTTCAGCCCTACACAGCTCTTGTATTGTAGGTGCATCCCAAAAAGCCTAACAGGTATCCCGTCAAAGATAGGTAATACATATATATACTGTACATACACAAGTTATGGGTGTGAATTTCTTCACTTCCAACTCTAATGACTAAGAGTTTTAGGCTAAAGGAATTCCAATGCATCACAAGCAAACCAAGAAGGTAATGCAAACTCAGGACTATCATTAGTCCTGATCTTGCACTGCTTGGCCTGTTTACAAAATGTAAATCCACTACTTAGGCTACATCAGATTATAAGTACAACAATATATTGGTACGTCATGTTTGCAGAAGCATCATTCCTCGATCACAATCTCCATATCCATGTCAGATTCTCTACCCCTGCGACCAATAACCTCACCATTAGCAAGCCTCTGCAAGTCAACAATAGAGAGTTGGTCAAGCCATCTCACAACATGGTTTGCTGCTTGGAGCTCATAGGCAGGGTGTCGGCCTGCAACTGCCACACATCTCATCCCAGCGTTATGTGCAGATTCTGTCGTCAAGTTTGAGTTACCAAACACAACACAAACATCTGGCTCCAGACCAAGTTGCTGTGCTGCGACCTCAAACATCTCACCATCCCACCATCAGGTTTCCCTAGGCAGAAGTCCTCCAATGCAATTATAGCATCAAAGTAGCCTTGCAGACCAACAGTTTTAATCCCTTGTTCAAGGCTCTTCCTTGAGTGAGGAGTTGCAATTGCTATTGGAATGTCAAAACCCACAAGGGTGTTCAAGAAATCAAGCACACCTGGTCGCAGCTGGTAGCATCCGCCTCTGAGTGTTTGATATATTACCTCCTTGTGTGCTGCCAACCTTTGAATTTCTGCTGGATCTTCTGACCAACATAAGACTTCTGAAATAGCCTGGTCAGTTCTCATTCCCTCAATTTTCTTCAGCAATGCATCTGGAGGGAAAGACTTTCCCTCTTCAAGTGATAGAACATACCAAACCCGGGGCTCCAAGTCTGGATCATCATCGTCCACAACAACTCCCTCCCACTCCAAGATCACACCAAAGCTGTTACCAGTCACTATTTCATCCTTTTGTTTTTTCTTCTTTGAGGTAGGTCTTTTAGGAACTTCTGGTGGTGCCAACAGCCAGCTAAGGTTCTCCGGAAGTCTATAAACCAATTTGTAAAGCTCATGTACCTGGGGGTTCCTCTTGATGTCTGTGGCATGTGGCTTCAAACGTGCTCTCTTCACCGTCATAGCTTTACCCAAGGGATTTGTAATTGAATGCATGGTCAGTGCAAAATATGGGTTATTTGTCAGGCATTTTCTGTAAAACTTGAGAGAAGGCTGCAGAGAACTCCCAAATAAATTGTTAAAAGAGATCATTTCTCCCTGAATCCTATCTGAAACTTGTACTGAAGTTCCAAATTATCCACAGAAAAGCAAGTTATGTTAGATTGATCCCACCAGTTAGCCCAACGGCCAATTGGGCCTTGATCCGCGCTCTCATGTGGCAACAATGAATGAACATGAGGAACCTGTCGTTTAGGATCCCATAGAACCCGTTGTCACATATGAGGAGGAGCAACAACAGCCTCATATAGAACAAGCGTCATCTAACGAAGCCCCTAGAAGGTCTCAAAGAATCAAGAGATCAACCATTCCTGAAGACTACGAAGTTTATAAATGTGAGGAATTTCAAATGTAGGGTGATCCCACCTCATTTGAAGAAGCCATGAGAAGCGCTCACTCATCAAAGTGGCTTGAAGCCATGGAAGATAAAATGAAATCAATGAAAACCAACGGTGTTTGGGACTTAGAAACAATTACTAAAGGAGCCAAGACAGTAGGCTGTAAATGGGTCTACAAAACCAAACATGACTCCAAATAGAATATAGAAAGATTCAAAGCACGACTTGTGACGAAAGGCTTCACGCAAAAAGAAGGTATAGATTATAATGAGACATTTTCTCCAGTCTCATGTAAGGATTCTTTTAGAATCATAATGGCGCTTGTAACACATTACGATTTAGAATTACATCAGATGGAGGTAAAGACGACGTTCCTAAACAGGGATCTGGAGGAAAATGTTTACATGGCACAACCGAAAGGTTTTATTGTGGAAGGAAAAGAACGTATGTGATGCCACCTGAAGAAATTCATTTATGGATAAAAACAAACTTCAAGACAGTGGTATTTGAAGTTTGATAGTACAATAAGAAAGTTTGGATTTCAAAAAAATATAGAAAACAATTGCGTTTATACAAAATTCAAGAATGAGAAATACATTTTTCTAGTCTTGTACGTGGATGACATCTTGCTCGCTAGCAGTGATGTTAATTTACTACTAGAAATAAAGAAGTTCTTGTCCTCAAAGTTTGATATGAAGGATCTCGGTGAAACCGTTCGTCCTATGAATAGAAATTCACCGAGATAGAGAAAATGGGGTTTTAGGATTATCACAAAAGACATACTTAGAAAAAGTTCTAAAGAAATACAGTATGCAAAATTGTAAGTCTTCACCTGCTCCCATAGTCAAGGGCGATAGATATGGGGAATTTTAATGTCCCAGGAACCAATATGAGATCGATCAAATGAAAACGGTTTCATATAGTTCAGCTGTCGGAAGTTTACAGTATGCTCAAGTGTGTACTCGCCCTGACTTAGCATTTGTTACCGAGTTACTTGATATATATCAGAGTAATCCAGGAATAGAACACTGGAAATTAGTAAAGAAAGTTTTACGTTACCTGCAAGGTACGAAGGGTCTCATGTTAACGTTCAGAAGATCTTATTCCCTGCACATAGAGAGGTATACAAATTCTTATTATGCGGGAGATGACAGAAAGTCCACGCCAGGATACATATTCACTCTCGCAGGAGGAGCTATATCGTGAAAAAGCTCAAAGCAAACCATCACTACATCGTCCACAATGTATACCGAGTTTGTAGCATGTTATGAGGCCACAGGGCAGGTGAATTGGCTGAAGAAATTCATGCCCGGGTTAAAAGTGGTAGACGACATACATAAGCCACTCAAGTTATACTGCGATAATAATCCAGTAGTATGTTATGCTCACAACAATAAGTCAAGTGGTGCTGCCAAACACATTGACATAAAGTATTATGTTGTAAAGAATAAAGTCCGGGATCATATAATTAGTCTTGAGCATATAAGAACAGAAAAGATGTTCGCGGATCCGCTTACAAAAGGCTTACTACCCAGCGTGTTCAGAAATCACTTAGCCGGCATGGTTTAAGGGAAAGCCTATAATTTCTGGACAATAAAGGCCTAGTTGAGAATCTGTTTCAAAACAGAGAGGTGTATTGTAGTTGTTTAATCTAATGGCAACTGACCGTGACGATGAGACACGCTCTATGCATTGATCTGTGATGGAATGGGAACAAGATAAAGTAAGTAAGTTAAGTTTAAGTCATAAGGTGAGATCAAGGGAGAGAATGTTAGATTGATCCCACCGACCAATTGGGCCTTGATCCGCGCCCTGATCGAAGGTGTCCAACCCTTACTATGGTTGGTGGATTCCCGTCGCACAGCGCATAAAAAGGGAGGTGGGACCGGGGCACAAGGCACGAGGTTCACCTGAGCCGTCAGACGCCCCACCTACAGTCCCTAAACCCTAGCCGATCTAGAGAGGGGGCGTTGCCAGCGACGGGAAGCTCCGCCACCGGCCACCGCCGCCACCGCGACAACGTCTTCACCGCCGGGCTTCACCGCGCCACGGACAAGCGACTTCATGGCCAGCTCGTCTTCTACAAAGGCGGCCAATGGTTTGCACCTCCGCAACCCCTCTCTTTCTCACCCTATCTCTAAATCCCGTACTAGTTTATGTTCTAGGACTTGCTGTTTGTCCCAAATATCAGTATACATGCTAGATCTATGACTAGATGATCCTGTAAAACTCTATCAAGTTCACCTCACATGCGATTAATCAGTGAGATCCAGGGATAATGCAAATTGCACCTGCATTAAGAACCAAGCAAAAGGTATTAAAAACATTTTTTTTTAAAAAAAATGGAGAGGTAATGTCCACCTTCTGCACCAACCAGAGGTGCACACAGCCACTTATCTCTCTTTAATATATGTGCACACTAGCATTTGAGCCCTGGTGGGTGGAGCTATACTTCCACATCTTACAACTGCACCAATGGTGCTTTCGCAAAGTTATGACTTATAACAACATAATGCATAGTACATAGATTCATTGCCTAGCATCAGTATCGAGAGATAAACGCTCCTTATCATGTCAACAGCTTGTTTAGTTATAGAGTGTTTACTTCAGTGAGAACTAAAGAAATCTGTGAGTGTGAGCAGGGGTTAACTAGAGTGTTTTATTGTTGCACTCTTGTAAACTGGCAACCCCAATGCTGGGTCAGGGTTTCAGCAGCACGCTTAAAGCTGGGCTAAAGCCTTTGATAAAAATAAAAATAAAAATAAAAATAAAAATAAAATAAAAAACCACTAAAGAAATCTGCAAAAGGGGCGCGATTTCCTTTCTCCATTAAAGTCAGCTAGATTGGCATAAGCATTTGATTCGTGGTCTTAGTTCTCCTGCTCGCGGTATACTTAGAATTTAGGAAGAAAGCATATGCAGAGCCTCACTTCTTGCAAGCATTTCTACAGATCGACCATCCTAAAAAGAACAGCCTAACAGTAACTTTTCCTGTAGACATGCTTTCCTGTAGGCGAACTTACAACAGGTGTCAGAATAAAAGGCGAACTTTAGCTTAAGGGCTCGGCCTAATTAGCTCCATCCCAACTATTGGACAGCAAATGCGAAGCAACAAGGCGCAATCTTGCAGCGAAACTCCGCCATTTCCGAATATTTTTCAGGAACGACAGACAGCAAACAACAAAAGAACAACATAATGCTTCATCTTAGCCCAAGCAGTAGCTACTTCCCAAGAATCCTGGAACAATAGAGGATTATACTGACCTGATGAAGGAGAAGAGCAGCTGAAGGGAGCGTTGGCAGAAGCTGGGAGCGGAGGAGACTCCAGCGCCACTAGCCCACTACAACCGGACTCTTGTCCCCTGCGCTTGGATTGGATGGTGGCGATGACCCCATTCGGATACACAAAGGGACGCGGGCGGCCGCTCTGGCACTCCCCATTGGTGGCGCGCTGCGGCAGCTTGGTGACAATGCCAAGTGGGACAGGAGAAGTTGGGACCCAGCTGTTAGAGAGAGTGGCTGTGCTGCGGCGAGAGGACGGTGATGTTGGAGAGCGCTCTCCTATGGGCCGCGGCGCTGCCTCTCCACTTCCTTGGGCGGCATGCGTGTCCGTCGCTCTGTCCACCAGCCCATAAAAATATGTCAGACCTTCGGTGAGAGGAGTAACTTTTTTTTTTCGAACGAACAGCCCTCAAAATGACATGGCCCACCGCTGCTGATGCCCGTGGGCCGTGGCCACCCTTAGCGCGCAATCTCCACCGTCCCAGAGCCGATTGCCGAGTATCCAAGCGATGCATTATGGGAAAAACTGTTGTTGTCTAAGTTTCAAAAAAATAAAAAAACTGTTGTTGTCTATCTATAATAAAAAGATTATAAGAAGATCGAGGTTGAAGACAACATCTAGACAATCTAAAATAAATATACAAGAAATAACACCCTTTTGTTATTAAAATTATGTTCACAAAAAAATAACAACTCTATGATCGCAGACAAACCACTTCCTTATGTTGAGAATATTATATCCATAGTAACCAATTACTCCTTTTGCCCCAAATTATAAGTTATTTTAACTTTTTTGGAGAGTTAAAACATCTCAAATCTGACCAAATTTGTATAATAAAACAATGACTTTTATGACACCAAATATATATAATGAGATTATCCATTAATTATATTTTCATAGTATATCTATTTAATGTCATAAATCTTTATAATTTTTTCTATAATTTTAGTTATACTTAAGATGTTTTGACTCTCCAAAAAAGTTAGAATGACTTATAATTTGGAACGGAGGGAGTGTCCATTAAGGATATGCTTAGTAACTGCTAATGGCAATTCTCGTATGTGTAAGATCGTGGGAGCAGAGCTCCCCCACGAGTCTTTGGAAACTGCCCAACAACGCTTGTATAAACATGTACATTGTTCATGAATAAAGTTATATAGCTTCACTTTTACTAATCTACTTTCTCCTGTTCCTTTAACACCCTATACGAACGTTGACATTCTAGTCCAAATTCTTACCCACTTATTTATTAGAGTAAATGAATATATAGGAAATAACATTCCATTTAGTTACTAAAATTTGGTTGAGAAAAAATAAACAGCTAGAACTTTATACAACAGGAACATTTTACAGCCTGCTCGTTTGAGCTACTTTTCAGTCATAGAACAGTGTTTTCCTCTTACAACATTTTAGCATAAGCATCAGCATAAGCCAAATTTCAGCATAAGGGTTTGTTTGGATATAAGAGCTAGTTACTAGCTAAGTAAAAATTAGTTTTAGTATATCTAAACAGGAATCAGTTTACCTGGGTGTTAGAGAAATCATGGAGTTACTCCACTGGATCAATGTATAGATGTCTTACTTACAGGGGAATTACAACACAAAAGAATGCAGAAACTGCGGAAGAGTAAATTGCCCAACAAAATCAAGGTGTTTATGTGGCTTATCACACAGGATAGAATTCAGACAGGGGCTAATCTTAAAAAGAGGAATTGGAAAGGAAACAGTAAGTGTTGCTTATGTGGTTGCGAGGAGACTGCTAACCATATTTTCTTTAACTGTCATTATCTCCAGATTGGTGTGGTTTTGCTTTAAAGCTTTAGATTGGGATAAGGCTCCTACTAGTTTACAAGATGTCTTTGAACATTGGTTACCTTTAGAGGTGCACAATTACCACATTAACAGCGTGTTTGGTCCGTGGATCCATTCCATCCGGGCGTCAGGTGGATCCGCTCACAATAGAATGGGTTCGTCCGGCATATTTGTGTGGAGTTGTCCTCCAAGATTGCTTATAATTTAGAGGGTCTCCAATAAGAAACTCATATAGGCATTTAAATTTAAAATGGGTAGCAAGAGGTCTAAAATCAACCTCTAACAGAGTACCTATACAAGAGACCTATTTTGGGTTGTCTGAGAGGTACGACCCAAATATGGGTATCCTCTCTCCTGGAAACCCATTTGTAGAAAGAATTCTCTTTTAGATCTTGTTGTTGAAGAAGATGCCGAATAGGTATTGAACATTTTGCATGTAGCGCTATCCAAAGAACGAATGGATCTTGTATTTTAGGTGTTGCTGTTGAAGATAGCCTTGTTGTACAGAGAATCCATGGATGATGGACGTGGCAGTTCCATGCCGACAACCAAATAACCTTGCCAGCTTAGCTTCGGTACTAGGATCGGATCATTCTAGATTACTTCAAACCGCAAACCAAACATGCTGTAAATTCTTTATGCTTGTTATTATTCTCTGGGGTCTTTGGAATATAATGAACAAAATAGGGGTAGGAAAACGTTTTCCACATTCTTCTATTGAGATCTTTGTAAAAAAATTTCGCTTTGTTCAGAGGTGGCGTATTCTCCTAAACGTGCAAGATGCAAACTCTCTGGATGACAAGATAAACAGGTTGAAGACGTGGTTGAAACTTGAAAGCCTTCTGAAAGCGAACTGAAAGCTACAGGTAGAAGGAATTATGTAAAAGCGGTTAAGTGCTCCATTGGGTGGACTCTTTTCTGGTTCATGACTGGAGAAGTTTGTTTCATTTTTTGCTCTGTAGATGCCTGGGAGTTCTTTTCTCTTCAGGTTTAGCTGGGTTGTTACCGTGGGCCGGAGTGCCCTTGTTTTCTTTGTCGTAGTCGCTGGCCTGATGTGGAGCCTGGATATTGCTGGTATCCCTAGCCTTTTTTCCTTTTCCTTTTGGTATTGAATCGCTTTTACTGTTTTTCTTTCTATAAAAGCTGAGTTTATCTCAGTTAAAAAAAGCTAAACTAAAAGATTAATAAGTGAACTAATTATTTAGTTAAGCCTTAATCAGTTGTTAGCTAACTATATAACTTAATTATAGTAATTTATTTAAATTATTTTTTTATCATAACTATTAACTAGTCATGTGTATCAGAGATACCCTAGATCCACACCCACCTTTTATTGGTCATCTCGCCCCCAATTCAACCTCATTTCTCTTTCCCTCTACGGCTCTACGCGGCCGCGATGCCACCTCCGGTCACCGCACCGACCCATCCGCCTCCGCCCTCCGAGTCGACGACCACCACCAGACCGCAGCAGCAGCAGCCGCCGCCGCCACCTCCTCCTCCTCCTTCCGGCGTTGAGTCTGAGGTGCCGCCGAAGAAGCGGAAGCTGGAGGAGGAGGGGTTTCAGCGCTCGCCGTACTACACGATCAGAGAAACCGTCGCAAATCTCCGCGGCCGCTTCCTCCAGGTCCCCGCCGAAAACCCTAACATCCTCGAGTTCCATTCAGCAATAGCAGCAGCAGTAGCTAGTAGCCGCTAGCTAGCTAGCACGATCACTATATTCCTAATTCAGCATTTAGGAATGTTTTTGCTTGCGATGTTTCGGGGGTAGAGCACTAGAGGTTGTATTGTGATTTTGAGTGAAATTGTGGAATATTTTATCGACGCCTGAACTGAAATGTTTGTGCAGGCTGCAGAGGTTCATAGTTCATACTAGACCTTAGGCGGGTTCTCTTTGTTGTTGAAATTTAACGGTCTGATGAGGACAAATACGTACTGATACAGAATGGAAATTGAAGTTCCTGGGATGTGTGTGATCTTAAGTGATCAGGTTAGCCCACCACGTTTGTGTGCAGTACACGTTCCTAATTCAACATACATGAATATTTTTGCCTGCCATATTTGTCTACAGAGGTACTGTGCTTCTGAATGCAGTCCTGGAAGTTTCTATTGACGCTTGAACAGAAAAACAGTGTGCTGACTGCTGAGTTTCATAGTTCATAATAGTGTTTAGGCTGGTGTTTTCTTGCAAGTGGAAATTAATGGTATGATGTGGACAAGTACATACGAAACAAAATCGAAATAAGAGTTCAAGGGATGGAGGTGCCGAGGTGGTGTAGGTCTAAGCGGTCAGGTTGACTAGCCCTGTCTGTGTGTCTTTCAATGTCAATGTGTGGTATTCCACTACATTTATTTTTGAGAAATGTATCTCTGGCGTCTTGTTTTTTGTTATGTTATTGGTTACGGTTAAAACTGTAATCAGTTATTAATTTGTTTGCATTTGTTGTCATGAAGGTTTGCCATGGAACTGATTCAGAAAAGAAAGATGCTGCTGTTGAGATCTTGAATGGTAAGTGATTGGTCCATCATGTTGGAGCAACGTGTAATTTTTTAATGTATTTCAGTAATCATAATCTGCACTAGAAATAGTGTTATGGCAACGGATTTTGAACTTATCCAGTTTCTGTAGTACCATTTTATAGAAAACCATATTTCTTCGATACATATTGCTCTCTGTGGGTTGTAACATAAGTATGACAGAGGCGCTGTGACATTTCTTCTCAAATGTTATCATTCAAATATTGAATCCTCAGCATGGTTAACCCATCTATGACTTTTAGTATATTACATTTCTTTATTTGTTAATTGTTATATATCATGTAAAAATATTATTGCATTCAAAAGCATTCCACCTGAGTCCTGCCTCTCTTAAGTTATTATGGTTCTGCGTTTGCTGTACACATGTAAAATACTTCTTTGATTATGTTCTCTACTCAGAAGCAGCTTTTATTGAAAACAAGCCACTATGTTCTGTAATCTATTCGAAATGCAAAAGAAATAATAGAACTGTGCATCAAATTATCAGTTATTATGAAATACCTTGATCAGCAGCTTTCTTTCAAAATGCATCTATTCTTTCTTTCTTTTTCTTTTTTTGTTTTTGCATTTAGATTATGCCTTGTTTTGTGGTCTGTAAATACTACCTGAGCATGAGCACATGGGCCTTACATTTGAACGATTTTACAAAAAATTTATATATAATAATGGCTTCTTTATCATGCATATGTATGCATAAAAAATTATTTGGATAATTAAATCTAACTTGTCTGTCCTCTGCTCTTCTTTTGTCTTACAGAGATGAAAGATGTGATAGAATTATCCAAGAAAACACGGCTTGATCTCTCCGCTGCTGCTGAACCTGTGATACCGTTTGACAAACATGCAGCTAGAGCTCCTGAGCATAAGCGTGCTGAGAAAGTTCTGTCTGAAGAGAAGAGTCTAGGTCCTACGACAAGCCTGGCGGGAAATTTTGTGCACAGTACAGGTGGAGGTGTACCACTCAAGCCTGATAACTCAGACACCGCAGCACATGGGTTACCAGTGAAGACTAAAAACTGGGCCGGACCAAGTAAGATAACAGGTTATACAAAACAACAGGGCGCACTCCCTCAAGGATCTTATGTCATCGGTGGATCTCCCATTGGCTGGAATTTCCTTATGTGGCCTGGAAGCAAAGCAGTCTACTATGGTTGACCAAAGCAGAGTGGTTGGCTCGTCAATCTGCAAAATGAAGTTCCATCCTGCTGTCCCAGTGATCTAACTGCTACATGGATCGATCTTTAGAAGATAACATAGTATTCCCTAATCCCTAGTTTCTGTGATATAAGTAGAACCAAATAGTACATGACACACCAGGAAGATGACCTCTTTGACACCAGAGCATGGTAACTTGGTAAGGCACTGAGGTATATTGGGATACTCAGTCTTTTGGAATGGATTTTGTTGCACAGTAGGGGTAATCAGCAGTAGATATACAGAGAATTTTGGTACTGTGAACTGGATGAGCCAAGCGTCCATGTTATGTTTTCTGTTCAGAAGTGGATACGAGGAAGAACCTCAGCACATGACAGCGCATTAGCGCTGATGCACAGTTAAACGACTGGTGGAGTTCCTGACTCCCTGCTCTCTGTGACTTTGTTCCATTAATTCTGTATCTTGCCTGCCTTGCTTTACCTGTGGACACTGGACAGTCAAGAGAGAATGCTTGTGAAAACTTGTGTTTTAGTTGCCTGTTTGTGCAGCTACTGTTCAAGTGCAGCAAGGCTACTGGCATTATTAGTTTGGCCTTCTACCTTGCTTGTCTTTTTTGTTCTCTGAGGAGATCTAGATTTTCTAACTTTGATAACCTTTTACATTTGGATAGCAAAGCTACTGAAAACCTCAGGATAAACAGGAGCATCTGTTCGGAATCTGCACGGCCTGAACGCCTGTGTTGCGGCTTACAACACTCTCCTACATGTACTGATGATGACGCACATCACTTCCCTTTCTCGTCAGAACAAGGGGGTAGGGGACCAAGTCCCCCGCTTCGGTCATCCTGTCTTCCATTCTTCTCGGAGCGTGCTCGTGCTCCGCTGTTGACGAAAGCGACGCTTTTGGGCAAGGAAACGGGCCTGCAGCGTCCCAGCTCGCGATTGGGCCCTCGCAGCACCTGCCAAAACAAGAAAAAGGCCTAGCCCATGCGCCAAGCTCCATGCGGAGGTTCCAGAGACATCTCACGTCTCTGAGGACTGAGGCAAGGCGACGTCAGTCTTCTTACCCGGCGCAGTCGAAACGCGCCTATTTAACTGTGCGCCCGCCTCAACCCCTGCCTCCTCCCCGGCCCCCTGTGCTCCTCATTTCCCCACCCAACGAGAGCCAAAAGCCTCGCGCCCCGCTCCGCCCCGGCGGCGACCCCCTGCCGTTTTCCGCAGCGACAGGCGACCAAGCCGCGGGCTTTGATCGCCTCCGCCCCGTGCCTACCCGGCCGCGGGCGTAGCCGCCGCCGCCACGACCGCAGCAGGCCCGGCCCGGCCCGGCCCCCCTCGGCGACTTCTGATCCAGCCGCGTCGCGCGACAGCTCGTCGTCCGAGTCCGATCCCCGCCACCGCGGCGGAACGAGGCGTTTCCGGTCCCCGAGGTGAGTCCCCCAAACCGGTGGTGCGATTCCGCCTGGTTTCTATGGTTGCTTTGCCGTGGCGGCGGCCCAGATTCGCCCCGTATTCTCCGTCCAAACCCTAGATTCGCCATTCCCTGCGTCACGTCTGGGGCGGAATTTGGGCGATTAGGTGCCTGTTCTATGATTTGAGCACCTTCGCCAAGGAATTTTAGGGTCAATCGATGCTGGTTCAATGTGTATGTGGTCCCAATTGGATGCTTGGCTGGTTCAACGTGGGCATTTTCTGAACAATTCATGGCGACCTTTGTAAACTTATGGAAGTTTCCTTGCTCTGATTCAGGGGATTCGGGGAATTTGAGACTGATACGACGGGATCCTGGTGATAATGCGGGGCTACGAGTACGAGACCAATGTAAGTTCTACATTGTTCACTTCATTCGGTTTAATTTCGACCAAGTGTGATCATTAAACCTTTTAAAGGCCACAAATCAAAGTTTAAATGGGTTAAAAACTGAGATAGACAGAGGATTATGATAACTTCATTTTTTTATTTGCTTAAATGTAGAAAAATAATTGTAATAAAACAAAGAGGGAACTACAGTATTGACTATCGTGAAAAAAAGCAGTGGAATGTTTTTGGTCTCGTAACGATGACAATTATTGTGCAGGGTTACCACCGGGAAGTGGAAGATGAGTACGGAGATGAGTACTATGATCAAGATGAGTATTTGGAGGAGGGTTCAGGTGCTGGGGATGAGTATGTTGAGGAGGAAGAGCCTACAGAGGGACAAAAAGAGATCCTCGAGTTGAGAGAACGATTAAAAGAGCAGATTAGGCGAAAGGCAAAGGCTGCTGCTGCCTGCACAACTGGCCGCTCGTCATCTTCACAAATGCCTCAAGCCAGGGACAAGTATGTTTGATGTACTGATTCTCAGCAGCATTCTCTTTCATTCTAAAATGATCTCTCTTCGAGCTCATGCCATTGAGAAATAATAAGACTTTATGGGAGATTACTTGTTCCCTTTCGAAATGTCTCCTGTTGTGGAACTAAAGTTTTTCATAGCCTATTGATCATTATACACTTGTGAAATAAATGCTGCTGGAAGATTTATTTTTCCACCAATATATTAGTTTGTTTTTCAGTGTGGTTGTGATGTTGGCAAACCAATTTTCTTTAACCTAAAGACCAATCAGTATTTGATGAATAAGGGAACTTTTCTTTTCTTTTGTTTTCCAACAAAATAGTCAAGCAGCACTTTTACACATTCTGCAGTTGATATTTCTTCTGCATTTCTTACCTTATTGTTGTTATAGAGTGTTCTTCAATGTGTTTCTTTTCCCTGCTAGATTTGGCTCTTTCTTCGGGCCATCCAAGCCGGTGATTTCTCGTCGAGTGATTGAAGAAAGAAAATCATTGAAAGAACTGCATAGCACAATTGCAAGGGAGCCAAGGCCTTCTGGAGTACATGTAATACTACGCCAGTATGCTTATTTTGATTAGCACTGGACCAACATTAAATAATTATATTCTGTTTTGCTTTTGCCAGAAGGATATTCCATCGTCCTCTAAAGTGCAAAGTAAAGGAAATGGACATCAGCATAAACAGAAGATTGTTAATCAGGTATAAATAATTTATATTCACTGCATTCTTTTGCATGTTCAGTACAATGGACCTAAAATAATGTATTCACAACATAGCAGTTGCAATTTGCAGGTAAAGAGGAAGGTTGAGGCACTTAAGGATAACCGAGATTATTCATTTCTACTCTCGGATGATGCTGACCTTTCACCCTCTCCAAAGGAGAAACCTGCTGCTAGATCTTCCTTGACTCAAAGGGCTGGTGAGTTGAAACTCTAATTTTATTAGACAAGGTCTTCCCTGTGTCTTCAAATGTGAATTGCTGACTGTTTGTTTCTGGACAATGAAGATCGCGAGGTGATGCAATCAACAGTAAAGAGCAAGGCACCAACAAGTCAACCTGCACGTTTGTCAAATGGATATGGACCTAAGAACACAATGTCAACTCAAAGGCATGCCGAAGGTAGGGTAGATTCCATGAGAAAGGAGGCTTTCTTGAATAGAGAAAGGGTTGTTTCACGTGACAGTGAGAGGACGCATTGTATTGCAAGAAATGGATCCAACCAGGCAAGCACTAGCAAAACCACAATCCAAAAGCTTCCAAGCAGGGGTCCTATTGTTAATAAGCAACCTTCCAAGGATTTGAATGATGCAACTCTGTGGAAGAGCAGTGTAGCCTCGGAAGAACCATCTCTCAGAGATTGACAGACCAAAATCCTCGCAAAGTCAGAGGATGCAGTCAGCTGGTCAGAGACCACAGCATTCTTCCCACGGTCAGAGGCCACATCAATCCATGCAGCATAGGCCGCAGCAGTCATTGCAGAGTCCGAGGCCACAGCAAATGACACAGGGTCAGAAACCACAACAGTCTTTGCAGAGTCAACGGGCTCGACAGTCCTTGCAGAATCAAAGACCACAGCAGTCCTCACATATTCAGAAACCGCAATCCTCACAAACACACAGACCACAGTCACTAAGTAACAGGTCCCAGCCATCACAAGGACAAAGGCCTCTTTCTTCGAAGGGTCAATATTCGGAGCAAAGAAGAGTACAGGCAAATAATAGAGTCAAACAAGCTGAAAGGCAGATTCGGCCTCCCTCGAAGTCCATGGTAAATACTTATGAGAAAATACCACCTTTCTGGATTTTGCCTGAAGTTATCTGCCACACATATTTCCTGTATATGGGTTGAATTCGTTTGGCTAGGGTTGCTGATGTTTCATTTGTTCCATTATTGTCTCTTTATTTGTGCTTGTAGCCATCTCGGCCAGTCTCTTCCAATGGAATTTGTGATGATCATGCAAAGAGAAAGCAAGTGGCAAAAAGAAGATTTGATGAAGATGAAGATGAGGAAGACCCCTTTGCAATGATCAGAAATATGTTCGGGTATTGTCTAGATAAGCCTGCTCTATCTTTTCTGTTTGGGTCAGTGGTTGTGAGCATCAGCCATCAGCCTCTATATAAGTTAGCATGTTTTACTAACATGGTTTTCAAGCTGAGCAAACCAAGCATTGCTTGATTGCAGTGGCTGTTCGAAGATGTTGCTTATAGATATTTGGATTCTAATTTTGGCTTCCTTTGCAGGTATGATCCTAGTAGATATGCAGGCAGAGATGAGGATGTCAGTGACATGGAAGCTGATTTTGCTACTATAGAAATGGAAGAGAAAAGAAGGTATTGCTTCTCTTATTTTATCCCGTATAATATTGTGCAGATTGAAATAAAAGCTTATATAATATACGTGTATGCTTTATATTCAAGATATTGCACTGCCTGCACAGATGATCAAGATAACTTTAGTATCATGATGATGAGACATTTGATTGTTTTTTTTTTGTACTCTCTACCGTACCATTCAATTGCTTCGTAGGGTCAAGTTCCTGTGCCATGTTTATTCATGGTTAAGAAACTAGCAGTGCACGTCGGATGCATGTGGATACTTAGCATTCTGGGTTTTCCTGTCTGTGGACGCCCTCTATTTCGTATCTGATTCACATTTGATATTGGTTTCTTTCAGCGCGAGGATTGCTAGGCGGGAGGATGAAGAACAACTTCGCTTGATTGAGGAAGAAGAGAGACGCGGGCAGGAGAGGAAGAGGCGAAAGATGGCACGAGGCCGATAGTCCAATACACCGTCATATTTGGATGTTATAACTGCACAGGCCTGATTGCCTGAGGACAAGTCCCATGGTCGATCAGACAGGCGTTTCTCTTGCAGTCCTGTTACCCTTGAGCGTTGCAGACAACAGCAAACCTTAGCTCGTTGATTATCTGGAGGCAAATCAATGTAAACGGCAGGTGAGCAACGCTGGGCACGTGTAACAGCAGAATGGCAGAATGTTAGTCGTAGTGGTTTATTTCCCGAAGCTGACATGGACCATATTTAAGCTCTCGTCAGACTGTTTGGATAGCAGAAGGCTCCAAACGTTGCAGCGCCTCGTCGGATTGTTTCTTCTAAATTCTAATTATATACTGATTCTTTCAGTTAAGCCTATATAAGGATGCCTAATCCAAGTGGTTGTTTGGGTGTAGTAGTGTTGTAATAAACGATGTGTTAGAATTTTCGGACATAATTTTGACCTTTTGTCAGGCGATCACTGCACTGCAGATGCGCCTCTGGTGTTGTCCTGTCTGGTCAGGACTCAGGAGGGATGTTTCGAGCTTTTCCCCTTTTTGGAAACGGGACTCGGATACGGATACCCCTTTTCCTGCACGGAACGTTAGCACGAAGCAGGCAGCTTGTCTTGTTGAGGAGCTTGTCGTGCTGATATACCCATGTTCAGCTTGCCTCATGAGCTGTATTTTTTCAATAAACAGTACTTTTCAGCCTGGGCCAGACGAACAGGGCAAAAATATGTTGTCAGCTATTCGGACATTTTCCTCTATATCTCTCTGGATCAACATATAGTAGATGAAAAGTAGAACACATAGATAAAAAAGATAAGGAGAATATTTTTTATTATTTTAAATATTAATAATTATAACATAGAGCTTCCATGTATATAGTCCCTCTGTCTCGTTATACAAGATGTTTTAGCTGTCAACGAAGACTCCCTGAACCTGGATGTATACAACGAAGACTCCCTGAACCTGGACGTCGGCTCTGTCCTGGTATATGGGACATGCAGTGAATGTAGTCACATAAATGCAGTGCTAGAAGTATAGTGGGACAGAGGGAGTATAGTCCTGTTAAAATCTAAGAGTTTGGCAAGAACCCACGTACAAACAGACTAAGGTTTATGATTGCTCCTTTTTCCTTTTAGGACAGACTCGTGTGTTTTACAACAATTTTAGGCTCTATTCGGCTGGTCTATAAGCCGCTTTGCTGATTTATACGGCTGATTTGTTGGGAGAGAAAAATAATATACCATGATTAATAAGTCGGCTTATAATGGCAGCCGAACGTAGCCTTAATCACGAAGCAGCCAGCTTGAATCCTGTTCGTGTTAGAGTTGTAGTACGTCTCCAACAATGTTGGCCGAGAACAGGAAGGTGCAGAACAAAGGATCATGGTTTCGAGTACTAATAAGGACTCCGACGAATCTCCGCTACCAGGTAACAAGTGTCGACCTAAAACCTCACGGGTCACGACTCACGAGTAGCCGACATGGCAGAAGGAGAGGAGAGACCGAGCGGAGGGGGTGACGACGATAACGGCAAGTACCCGATTGGGTTCCGCTTCAAGCCGACGACCGAGGACCTCGTGGAGTTCTACCTCCTCCCCAAACTGCTGCACGAACCGACCGTGCCAAACGAATTCGTCATCGAGGCGGACGCGTGAAGGACACGTGGACGCCTAAGAGGGGGAGGGTGAATTAGGCAACTTAAAAATCTAACTCTAAGCTATGGAGAACGGAGATGATCTTCCTCACGATGTCCGCATTATCTAGCTTTAATAATCCTATTGAATGGAGCTCATTGATAATTAGATTCAATCGAGAATACATATCACGAACAAGCTCATCATCATTCATAGCAAACGAATCATAATTTTGCTTAGCTAGACAATGTTTTTGCTCACGGACATTACTTGTACCGTCATGGAGCTCTTGAAGTTTTAACCAAATTTCATGTGCCGTATTTAAGGTGAACACTTGGTTAAACACATCCATGCTAAATGATTCAAACAAGCAATTCTTACCTCTAGCATTAAAATGCATTTCTTTTTCATCACTCTTTGTGGGTTTTTCGGGATTCTTGATGGGTTTCATCCCGTCACGAGTGACTCTCCATACACCCAAATCAACCGCCTCAAGGTGGCAAGCCATTCTAGCTTTATAGTATGGAAAGTTAGTGCCGTCAAATTGTGAAGGCCTAGCGGTATCCATCCCAACCACTCTACAATAGCGTCGGCTCAACGGCGGTTAAGCCAAAGGTCTAAATATGAGCCAACCGGCTCCGATACCACTTGAAGGACACGTGGACGCCTAAGAGGGGAGGGTGAATTAGGCAACTTAAAAATCTAACTCTAAGCTATGGCCTCTTTTTCTACCTCCAGCAAAACCTATGCAAAAGATAATCTATCTAGTTGTGCAACTACGGTTTTGCTAGTGTGTTGCTATCTCTACCGCAAATGATAATAATATGATCAATGTAAATACGGAAGCTTAAAGAGCAAGGTAGAGATATGCAAACTCCGTCGATGACGACTCCGGTATTTTTACCGAGGTATCGAGAAGCGCGCAAGCTTCCCCTAGTCCTCGTTGGAGCCCTCGCAAGGAATCCCTCGCAAGGGCCAAGCTCTCGGTCGGGTAACTCCGTGGATAGCCTCGGGCCTTCCCCACGCCGCAAGTGGGTCTCCGATGTGTCTTCCGCAAGCCTCTCCCGGATGCTCTCCGCCGCCTTCACTATCAAGCTTTTCGGCCGAACGCCATGGGCCTTGTTCCCTTGATTTACACGGTGGCGGCCGCACCACAAACGCGTTGGTGCGATCTCGCAAGACTTCAAGCCCTCTCCGATGTACAACTGTGCTCGCAAGCACGGGTGGCAAGAGGTATGCAAACCTCACTAAACACTAGGCATACACCTAGAGCAAGCGCATAAGTGGTGGTCTAATCAACCTAAGCACTTCGCAAAGCACCTACGCTAATCACATGATGAAACACTAAGCACTTAGCAAGTGGAGATCACTAAAATGGTGTATCAACACCCTTGGTATGTTTTCTCAGCTCCACTATACTCAAATGGCCGGTTGGGGTTGTATTTATAAGCCCCACCGAGAAAGTAGCCGCTTGGGGTCGAACTCCCGCAATTCGCTCTCGATCGACGGACGTTGAATCGCCCTGACCGGGACGTGTCCGGTCGTCCCGACCGCTAGTAGCCGCTGAACTACCGATCGGACGCCGCCAATCGGTTCGGTCGCGCTTCTCCACGGGACGCGTCCGTTCGCGCTACTACTGAACCTCTCTCAGATTTCGATCGGACGCTGCGTTCCTCGCGTCCGGTCGGTTCTTGCCAGCGTCCGGTCCTCTTGCGTCCGGTCGCATGTTCTGCCGAGCCACCGGTCCAGCGTCCGTCGTGCTTCCAGCGTCCGTCCAGTCGTCCGGCCGCCTCTGCGAGCTCGCTTTCTTTGCGATCTTGCGCACGGCTTGGTTCCTATCTTTATGCTTGGACTTTGCTTGACATCTTGGGTCTTTTCTTGTGCTTCTAAGGTCTTGCTTGAGGTGTTGATCATCGATCATCATGTCGCCTTCGTCCCAAGTCACGTCAGAATGTAACCGACCAATTATACGAAATTAAGTAAGAAAATCATCCACCGGAAAGCGCATTTATTGAGCAAACTTAAGTCCAGATAACCCGGTAGTCCGTGAAATCACGAAGGCTTTCAAACCAACTCGTGTCCCAAACATGATCGTAATAAGTTTAGCGGTCACCAATCACATATTACATAAAAGTTTCCATAACAGATATACATCGAGTTTAAACATAGTTATTACAAAACAAGTTCGAATAAAAGTAGCGGAAGTCATTTGTTTAAAACCACACACACTCTCACGCTGGAGTTTAAATATAGTGCCAATGAATGATCATTTCCAACAAAAGCATTAGATGAGACGTAAGGAATGACCATGCCCATGGTCCTAAGCATCACCCATCGCAGGATAGAGGCGCTTGATACAATAGCCGTAATACATCTCGCCCATCTCGCAACAAGTGGGAATAAAACCCCGAGTACGAGAAGGTACTCACCAGGACTTACCCGACATAACCGAAAATAAATGACACCAAGGATTATGCATAATAGTAGGGTAGTCGACTCATTTGCAAAAGAAGCATTTTTAGCATTTCAAGAACCTTTCTAAAAGCATTATTGTCAAGTTAATTATTATTAACCTTTGTCGACTAGATTTGCACCTATACTAGAGTAAACATGTGATTAAGCAATTAATGATAACCACCGATCATTAAACAACTTCCATAATGTCATATTCACTATAAATCGTCCAAGTGTTCCATAAACATTTACTACGATGAAGTCACTCAAGTCAAGTGCTCACTATCCGGAGCGATGGCGATTCGAATCGATTCCTAACCACCGGTGATTTATTCCTTACATAAATCTCACTCACCCGCTAAAGTGAGATATTGATCATCGAGTCAACTTTCCGTATCTCGAGTTTGCCAGAACCACATGTACCGGGGCCGACCGATCGCACTTTGGTCTTATCATCCCGCCCAGTGTCCTACCACACACACCCTTTAAGACAAGGTCTTGTCATGGGCAATCTACTCGGCCCGAAAATCTCCCGCTTCATGCGGTCGGAAGGTACTTTATCCGCCGCCTAAATGTAAGGCATGCGTTCAACATGACTCGAGGCCCAACAACGGTCGGTCCTTAATCGACACAGACGGAAACACTACAGTCCAAAACCCTGCAAGTCTCCGCCCGGTCTCAACTTCATTCAACACTTAGTTATACCATGACTTCATAGCCATCCAAACAGATCCAGGTAACCACCTATAGCTCGCAGTGACAGAAATCACCCGACTTCTACCGATCTAAGCCACCTAAGCATTGACTTGATCATGGATACCGTGGTAACAAGGATATAGTATAACAAAGGTAAACAAGGTATAATGCAAAGAACAGCTTGCAAACAACTCCCCGAACGTAATGCATCAA